ACGTACGTGGCTGGAGCCTAAAGTACAACAGGCAGGCATTACGAAATGCTCTGAACTTGGTGCGATTCCCACTGAATCGTTCTGGGACAGGAACATGAGGTTCTGGCATAAGTGTAGGTGTAGGTGCTGCTGGTCCGGCCAGGGTTTCAGTGGTACCACTGGCCGGAGCTGAGGGACTATGATCTTGGGGGGGCCGAAATAGTGGTGGTTAGGGGTCTGGATCCGACCATCCAGGTGATTATAGCCCTCCTCCAGCGCCCTTACCGCCTGAGTAAGAGCCGCCAGATGCTGGCACATATTTTCCAGGGGGAAGGTCCTCTTCCAGGTTCCGTCATCTTTTTGGCCGTTTGGTACTGTTAAGCCGCCTGGCAGAGTCTCTAGCAGCCCACCGCACGGACGCTCCCAGGGGCGCGGGGTCTAAGTCCCAGCCTGCTATTCACCAGGGCCCCTGATGGTGGGGATGGACTTGGTGCAGACTGAAACCAGGTCGCGACCCCCGAGTGCGTCCTGCGGTGGTAGAGAATACTGACAGGGGAGTGCAGGAACGGAATCTATTTGGAAGAGGCAGACAGATACACAGGTCTGACCCAAACCGGCATGGATGGATGGGTGGATGGATACGGTATGCGTGGTCAGACAGGCCGGTCGGTAATATATGCGGGCAGCAAGGTACAGAGGAGCGAGCTAAGAATGGTCAGGTCACAAGCCAGGTTCAGCAGGATGCGGGCAAATACAGTACCAGGGATCAGACAGAAGAGTAGTCAGGCAAGCCAGGGGTCAAACAGGAGAGAGCAGGATCAGGAACAAGCAGAGGTCGGCAACGGAGTATACAGCAACACAGAACAGGAACAGGATACAGGACACAGGATACAAGACCAAACGGCAACTAACATACCTGTTCCTGCGTTTAAATAGCCCGCCTCCCGCTGTCATTGGTGCCAGGCGCGCGTCCTTGATCCCGAGTGCGCATGCGCGAACCCCGCCGCTGCCATGCGCGGCCAGGTCCCTACCGCCCGCCGGGTAGAGAGAGAGTGGGTGTTCTGCGCATGCGCCGCCCGACGCGATGCCGCAGAACACCCGGATCCTGACACGGCTACACCGATATGGCGTTTATTCGCCGAACTGCACATGAAGGGGGGCACCATATATAAGTAACCTCCTGGCACGCTCCCTTTGAAAATGTGCACGGGCACGAAACGTGTTAGGAGGAGCCAAGCCAGTGACGCCATGAGGATGGCCGGCGGCCATCTTTGTTTCTGTTATACTGCCAGATGTGAGTGCATTATGTTATAAAGTATTTTTGCCAATTTCAATAAAGAATTACTGCACTATTAGGCACTCTTTCTCTGGCTCGTTTATTGATGGGCTGTTTAACCGTTTCCATACCGGGCAATTTTACCCCCTTCCCCCCCAGGCCATTTTTCAGGTTTCAGCGCTCTCACACTTTGAATGACAATTGCGCGGTCATACAACATTGTACCCAAACTAAAATTTTATCATTTTCTTCACGCAACTAGAGCTTTCTTTTGGTGGTATTTAATCACCGCCGGGGTTTTTATTTTTTGCTAAATTAACAAAAAAAGACTGAAAATTGTGAACAAAACACATTTTTCTTTGTTTCTGTTATAAAAGTTTGCAAATAAAAAATTGTTCTTCAAAAATTTAGGCCGAGATGTATTCTGCTCCATGTCTTTGGTGAAAATAACCCAAATTAGGATGTATTATTTAGTTTGTAGGAAAGTTATAGAGTTGACAAACTATGGTATAGATCTGAATATTGATCAATCCTGAAGTACTGACAGCCAATCTAATTTCTTGAGGTCCAAGAATGTCAGAACAGTACAGATATCCCCCAAATGTCAGGACAGTACAGATATCCCCCAAATGTCAGAACAGTACAGATATCCCCCAAATGTCAGGACAGTACAGATATCCCCCAAATGTCAGGACGGTACAGATATCCCCCAAATGTCAGGACAGTACAGATATCCCCCAAATGTCAGAACAGTACAGATATCCCCCAAATGTCAGGACGGTACAGATATCCCCCAAATGTCAGGATGGTACAGATATCCCCCAAATGTCAGGACAGTACAGATATCCCCCAAATGTCAGGACAGCACAGATATCCCCCCAAATGTCAGGACAGTACAGATATCCCCCAAATGACTCCTTTTTGCAGAGTAGACAGTCCGACGTACTTCATAAGAGGTATGGCGAGTTTTTTGAAGTTGTATATTTTTTGGCATAATGTTACGGAAAATGAAAAAATTTAAAAAATTATTTTCACTATTTTTTTTTTAAATAATGTCACCAGTGCAGTACAGCGTCATCATATAACTGGCATGGCGGTGAACAGGGACACTGACTGGTGACAGTATGGAAAAAAAAATATTTATTTTTTTTTATTTTTTTTAAATTGTTTTTATTATTTTAAATTTTTTATTACATTTGTTTTCATTTTTTTAAGATACCATAGTAACATTGTACTACTTTGGGGAAGTGATCAGTATTTTTTTTTTTTTACACAATTTGCTTATAGCAAAGAATTACTTTGCTATAAGCAAGCATTTACCTGAATGACATCGATTCATTCAGGGTTTTTAATTTTTTTCTTGTGCTTAGCTGTGATTTGGCCACAGCTAATCACATGACATGTGCATGTGACCTGCTGTGACCATTCACAGCTAGGCACTAGTATACAATGGATGGCATGAATGAAGCCATCCATTGTATACAATTGTCATGTGACCTGCTGTGATTGGTCACAGCAGGTCACATGGTACCGGCAACGGGGGCCGGTACTCAGATCTGTCATCGGCCGTGTCCGAGGCACACGGCCGGTGACAGATCGCACCGCTGCGCGGCTCTGCAAGCGCGAAAAACTGCGCATGCCCGGCGTCCAAATGGCGTGCACCCGGAAAGCTAAAGCATTTTTGCCGGCTGCCAAACGGCTATAGGCCGGGCGGGAAAAAATGGTTAAGGTGGATTCCTGAGTTTCCCACTAATACTGGTCCATCTACACGGGATGGGATTTACCCTGGATACCTGGAGAGTAGCAGCCGGATGATCAATTGATGTGCAGACGTGTGCCAGATTATCCCTGAGGTTACCCTAAGGCAGTGTTTCTCAACTCCAGTCCTCATGGACCCCCAACAGGTCATGTTTTCAGGATTTCCATTATTTTGCACAGGTGATTTGATCAGTTTCACTGCCTTAGTAATTACCACAGCTGTTTCATCTGAGGGAAATCCTGAAAACATGACCTGTTGGGGGTCCATGAGGACTGGAGTTGAGAAACACTGCCCTAAGGATACAGATGACCAGGAGCGGTTTATTTACTCAAATGGGCTCATAATTGCGTTTTCTGCTTAGTGCAATATATACTCGTTATTCCATCCACCGGAGCCTCGGAGTTCACCCATTTATATATATATTGGACGCTTCTACTTATGTGTACAGATCTGTGTCACTATTGCACTTTATGCATCATATTCAGACGCTGTTATCACTAATACCCTAGCCAGGGGCGGACTGACCATTTGGAAACTCGGGCACTGGCCGAGCGCCCGGGGTCAGTAGGGGGCCCCTTGAGATGCCCCTGGTACCTTTTTCATAGGCTTTTTTGAGTCTGGGCAAGGACCCAGGGGCCCCATGATCCCCTATTGCCCGGGGGCCCCATGAGTTGTCAGTCCGCCCCTGACCCTAGCGCTCCACGGCGCACGTTTTTATCATATCCAGCATTGTTTTTATTAATCATTTCATTTATCACTTGATTAGCGCTGCGTTTTATGATCACGAATATTGACTGTGGATTGTCTGGTGACCAATAGAAGGAAGCCAGCGTTGCAGTAAGGCAGTTAGGCCTCATGGACACTTTGCTTTTTGCCTCTAAACGCCCCCATAATGTTAGCCCTTCCCACATATATTTGAAATGCTAAAATTTTGGCCATATTCAATATATTTCAAAATATATTTCAATAAACATATATCTACTGCATGTTGAAATGTGTTTTTTATTAGAAAATATATGAAAAATATTTTTTATAAATCCATTTCAAATATACCGCATGTCTTTTAAAAATACAGATCTACATTTCTGGAATGCATTTACAAATATATATATATATATAAATATATGTTAAAATAACTTTTTTATATGTCAAAAAAAATCTGAAGAATATATTTAAAAAAATAAATATACTGTATTTAGTATTTAAAGTGTTCCTGAACCCCCAGCAGTACAATCAGTCTGTAGATGCGGTAAAGCGTGCTGGTTATACTCACTGTGGGACCTATTATTATTATTATTATTATACAGGATTTATGGCGCTTTACAATATAACAATACAGCAAAAAATACAGTTCAGTAAAGAAGGAAAAGGAGGGCCCTGATCCTTGGAGCTTACAATCTAAAGGAAAGGAGGAGGTGACACAAAAGGTACCTAAGGGGTTCATCCTCTGTATTGTGTAAAAAGGCTGTTTGATCCTGTCTTTTCTGATCCTCCCCTTCTTCCAGTATCCCCCCCTTTTATCTCCTGATAAGACATATCGTGTGCAGACACTCTGCACATGCTCAATTCGGTGTGTCTTTTTTTTTCTTGGGAGAGTGCATGTGATCAGCACAGTCCAGACAGAGGGTCAGGGGGCCTGCTTCCTCCCAGAGCAGAATGAAAACTCCTTCTGCAAGCTTTTTACCAGTGCTCTGCTGGACACTGATATGTCACAAGACTGCTGTATACTGCTGATGAGATAAAGTATTTAGCAGTTTATATTTACTAAAATAATAGCATTTCCATGTTCTGTGTACTGTGGGAGACCAGATATAGTGAATGCGGGGTCCGGGGAGACCGGATATAGTGAATGCGGGGTCCGGGGAGAGCGGATATAGTGAACGCGGGGTCCGGGGAGAGCGGATATGGTGAACGCGGGGTCCGGGGAGAGCGGATATGGCGAACGCGGGGTCCGGGGAGAGAGCGGATATGGCGAACGCGGGGTCCGGGGGAGAGCGGATATGGCGAACGCGGGGTACAGGGGGTCCGGGGAGAGCGGATATATGGCGAACGCGGGTCCGGGGGGAGAGCGGATATGGCGAACGCGGGGTCCGGGACGAGAGCGGATATGGCGAACGCGGGGTCCGGGGGAGAGCGGATATGGCGAACGCGAGGTCCGGGGAGAGCGGATATGGTGAGCGCGGGGTCCGGGGAGAGCGGATATGGTGAACGCGGGGTCCGGGGAGAGCGGATATAGTGAGCGCGGGGTCCGGGGAGAGCGGATATAGTGAACGCGGGGTCCGGGGAGAGCGGATATAGTGAGTGCGGGGTCCGGGGAGAGCGGATATAGTGAGTGCGGGGTCCGGGGAGAGAGCGGATATAGTGAGTGCGGGGTCCGGGGAGAGCGGATATAGTGATCTCCATGATCGTTGTGTCCTACGGACACAGCTGATCACGTGATGTGGTAAAAGGCCAATCACAGCTGCCTTTTACCACATGATCAGCGGTGTCCAATGACACGCTGATCACAGGGAAATACAATTGCCGGTTCTCGGCTGCACTTTCCTCAGACTGTCACATCGTGAGGAAAGTGCAGCCAAGAACCGGCAGTTGTCAGAGCGGGGATCGATACCCATCATCAGGGCACTGATGGTCAGTGCCCTAATGATCAGTGCCCAGCACTGCCACCAGTAAGTTGCACCAGTCAATTCCCAGCAGTGACGCCAGTCAGTGCAGACTCATCAATGCACATCAGTGAAGGAGATAAATTACCTGTTTGCAAAATTTTATAATAGAAACAAAAGAAAACATTTTTTTTCACATTTTTTGCAATTTTTTTGTTTATAACGCAAAAATTAAAACATCCAGCGACAAGTAAATACCACCAAAAGAAAGTTCTATTTGTGAGAAAAAAATGATAAAAAATTCATATGTGTACAGTGCTGCATGACCGCGCAATTATCATTCAAAGTGTGATAGCGATGAAAGCTGAAAATTGGCCTGGACTGGAAGGGGGGGGGGAAAGCGTCCGGACTGAAAGGGGGGGAAAGCGTCCGGACTGAAAGGGGGGGAAAGCGTCCGGACTGGAAGGGGGGGAAAGCGTCTGGACTGGAAGGGGGGGGAAAGCGTCCGGACTGGAAGGGGGGAAAAGCGTCCGGACTGAAAGGGGGGGAAAGCGTCCGGACTGGAAGGGGGGGAAAGCGTCCGGACTGAAAGGGGGGGAAAGCGTCCGGACTGGAAGGGGGGGGGAAAGCGTCTGGACTGGAAGGGGGGGGAAAGCGTCCGGACTGGAAGGGGGGGAAAGCGTCCGGACTGGAAAGGGGGGGAAAGTGTCCGGACTGGAAGGGGGTGGAAAGCGTCCGGACCGGAAGGGGGGAAAGCGTCCGGACCGGAAGGGGGGGGAAAGCGTCCGGACCGGAAGGGGGGGGAAAGCGTCCGGACCGGAAGGGGGGGGAAAGCGTCCGGACCGGAAGGGGGGGGGGAAGCGTCCGGACTGGAAGGGGGGGAAGGAAAAGCGTCCGGACTGGAAGGGGGGAAAGCGTCCGGACTGGAAGGGGGGGAAAGCGTCCGGACTGGAAGGGGGGGAAAGCGTCCGGACTGGAAGGGGGGGGGAAAGCGTCCGGACTGGAAGGGGGGGGAAAGCGTCCGGACTGGAAGGGGGGGGAAAGCGTCCGGACTGAAAAGGGGGGGAAAGCGTCCGGACTGGAAGGGGGGGGGAAAGCGTCCGGACTGAAAGGGGGGGGAAAGCGTCCGGACTGGAAGGGGGGGAAAGCGTCCGGACTGGAAGGGGGGGAAAGCGTCCGCACTGGAAGGGGGTGAAAGCATCCGGACTGGAAGGGGGGGAAAGCATCCGGACTGGAAGGGGGGGGGAAAGCGTCCGGACTGAAGGGGGGGAAAGCGTCCGGACTGGAAGGGGGGGAAAGCGTCTGGACTGGAAGGGGGGGAAAAAGCGTCTGGACTGGAAGGGGGGGGAAAGCGTCTGGACTGGAAGGGGGGGAAGTGTCCGGACACTGGAAGGGGGTGAAAGCGTCCGGACCCGGAAGGGGGTGAAAGCGTCCGGACCGGAAGGGGGTGAAAAGCGTCCGGACTGAAGGGGGGGGAAAGCGTCCGGACTGGAAGGGGGGGGGAAGCGTCCGGACTGAAAGGGGGGGAAAAAGCGTCCGGATGGAAGGGGGGAAAGCGTCCGGACTGGAAAGGGGGGGGAAAGCGTCCGGACTGAAAGGGGGGAAAGCGTCCGGACTGGAAGGGGGGGAAAGCGTCCGCACTGGAAGGGGGGAAAGCATCCGGACTGGAAGGGGGGGGAAAGCGTCCGGACTGAAAGGGGGGGAAAGCGTCCGGACTGGAAGGGGGGGAAAGCGTCTGGACTGGAAGGGGGGGAAAGCGTCTGGACTGGAGCTTTGGGGGGGGAAGTGTCCGGACTGGAAGGGGGTGAAAGTGTCCGGACTGGAAGGGGGTGAAAGCGTCCGGACTGGAAGGGGGGGAAGAGTGTCCGGACTGTAAGGGGGTGAATGTGTCCGGACTGGAAGGGGGGGAATGTGTCCGCACTGGAAGGGGGTGAATGTGCATGTCCGGACTGGAAGGGGGGAAAGTGTCTGGTTAGGCGCCCATGTTAAAATAGTATTATTCATGTAGAAATTCACATATACACTGACCTCTCTGCTGGTGGCTCTGAAGAATTTCTGTTTAATTCTTTTACGGAAATAAAGGGAGTTATACTCACCTTCCTCCAATGGTCCCCCATCCCTGCTAGCGCCAGTACCTTCTTCTGTGTGCTGAGCCGTTTTCAGCCATCTTCATTGGCTGGCATGGGATGATGTCGCTCATACTGGACATGTGCACATGCTAGTCATCCCGGCACTTAGGGATCTGGCTGGCCGCTGTAAGATGAGCTGCGCATTCTGGGGAAATGCTGACAGCAGACAGGTAGGAGTATTATATTGGTGCAGAAGAAACATTGCATGTCTCTTCTGTAGGTGCGAGTATTTTATTGCATGTCTCTTCTGTAGGTGCGAGTATTATTATTGCATGTCTCTTCTGTAGGTTGAGAGTATTTTATTACATGTCTCTTCTGTAGGGTGTATTTTATTACATGTCTCTTTCTGTAGGTGCGAGTAAGCATGTCTCTTCTGTATTGAGTACTTTATGTGTACTCTTCTGTAGGTCGAGTATTTTATTCCATGTCTCTTCTGTAGGTGCGAGTATTTTATTGCATGTCTCTTCTGTAGGTGCGAGTATTTTTATTCCATGTATCTTCTTCTGTAGGTCTGAGTAACTTTATTCCATGTCTCTTCCTGTAGCTGCGAGTATTTATTCCATGTCTCTTCTGTAGCTGCGAGTCCATTTCTCATCTGTAGGTGTGAGTATTTATTCCATGTCTCTTCTGTAGGTGTATTTTTTTGCATGTCTCTTCTGTAGGTGTTTTTATTGCATCTCTCTTCTGCAGGTCTGTATATTTTTATTCAGTGTCTCTTCTGTAGGTGTATTTTATTCCAGTCTTTTCTGTAGGTCTGAGTATTTATTACATGTTCTTCTCTTGTAGGTGCGAGTATTTTGTGCTTGTCATTTTGTAGGTGTTTTATTACATGTCTCTTCTGTAGGACGAGTATTTTGTTTGCATTCCATGTAGGTGTATTTTATTCATGTCTATTCTGTAGGTGCGAGTATTTTATTGCATGTCTCTTCTGTAGGTGCGAGTATTTTATTGCATGTCTCTTCTGTAGGTGCGAGTATTTTATTGCATGTCTCTTCTGTAGGTGTGAGTATTTTGTTGCATGTCTCTTCTGTAGTATTTTATTGTATTTTATTGCATGTCTCTTCTGTAGGTGTGAGTATTTTAGTTGCATGTCTCTTCTGTAGGTGTATTTTATTGCATGTCTCTTCTGTAGGTGCGAGTATTTTATTGATGCATGTCTCTTCTGTAGGTGCGAGTATTTTATTGCATGTCTCTTCTGTAGGTGTATTTTATTGCATGTCTCTTCTGTAGGTGCGAGTATTTTTATTCCATGTCTCTTCTGTAGGTGCGAGTATTTTATTACATGTCTCTTCTGTAGGTGTGAGTATTCTATTCCATGTCTTTTCTTTTCTGTAGGTCGGAGTATTTATTCCATGTCTCTTCTGTAGGTGCGAGTATTTATTGCATGTCTCTTCTGTAGGTGCGAGTATTTATTGCATGTCTCTTCTGTAGGTGCGAGTATTTTATTCCATGTCTCTTCTGTAGGTGCGAGTATTTATTGCATGTCTCTTCTGTAGGTGCGAGTATTTTATTCCATGTCTCTTCTGTAGGTGCGAGTTTTTTATTGCATGTCTCTTCTGTCGGTGTATTTTATTGCATGTCTCTTCTGTAGGTGTATTTTATTGCATGTCTCTTCTGTAGGAGCAAGTATTTTATTCCATGTCTCTTCTGTAGGTGCGAGTATTTTATTGCATGTCTCTTCTGTAGGAGCGAGTATTTTATTCCATGTCTCTTCTGTAGGTGCGAGTATTTTATTTTTGCATGTCTCTTCTGTCGGTGTATTTTATTGCATGTCTCTTCTGTAGGTGTATTTTATTGCATGTCTCTTCTGTAGGTGCGAGTATTTTATTCCATGTCTCTTCTGTAGCTGTATTTTATTCCACGTCTCTTCTGTAGGTGCGAGTATTTTGTTGCATGTCTCTTCTGTAGGAGCGAGTATTTTATTCCATGTCTCTTCTGTAGCTGTATTTTATTCCACGTCTCTTCTGTAGGTGCGAGTATTTTGTTGCATGTCTCTTCTGTAGGTCTGAGTATTTTATTGCATGTCTCTTCTGTAGGTGCGAGTATTTTATTCCATGTCTATTCTGTAGGGGCGAGTGTTTTATTGGATGTCTCTTCTGTAGGTGTATTTTATTGCATGTCTCTTCTGTAGGTGCGAGTGTTTTATTATATGTCTCTTCTGTAGGTGTATTTTTATTCCATGTCTCTTCTGTAGGAGTATTTTATTCCATGTCTCTTCTGTCGGTGTATTTTATTCCATCTCTCTTCTGTAGGTGCGAGTGTTTTATTGCATGTCTCTTCTGTAGGTGCGAGTGTTTTATTGGATGTCTCTTCTGTAGGTGTATTTTATTCCATCTCTCTTCTGTAGGAGCGAGTATTTTATTGCATGTCTCTTCTGTAGGTGCGAGTGTTTTATTGGATGTCTCTTCTGTAGGTGTATTTTATTCCATGTCTCTTCTGTAGGTGTATTTTATTGCATGTACAAATCTTCCATCTCAGTTTCACAGTTACATTGATCCATCTCGGCACCATGGAGTATACATATCTTATACCCGAGTCAATGCTACTGCAGTCATTTGTAAATACAGAGAAGTGCAGCGCCGCCCACATATACAGCATTAAATATGTGAAGAGTGGTGGAACCCCCCCTGTAAAAGTGTGAAGAATAGTAACTAATACCGTGATAATAATTTACAGCCACAAACACAAAGCATTAATCTCAAGCAAAATAACCAACAAGGTGTTATAATAAAAACGAATAAAGTGACTCCGCAGAATTCACGTTGGTGCCGAGGACACACATTTCATTATATTTATATACAT